AAATACAAAATGGAATGAACTCGCCGGGTTTGTCTGTGTATACGCCAAAGTGAAGTTCGCGGTAGGGCTCACCAGTTTAGTGGCTTAGGCTATTGACGTTCACGGATAATACGAAATATACTAACTCAAGATCCGATACCCACAACTTCTAGAGTATTCGTTTCGCGTAGTCCAAAGGCAAAGTAAAACACAAGAGTTGATTATCCATATTACGAGATATATTTCGGGACCAAATCAGAGTTCGAGATAATTGCTTAGCTAGCTATGGATCATGCACTAACGAACAAACGTGACACGACGGATTATCAAGTGGCGTGGAAGTTTGACCGGAAGCCTTCAGCTAAACGAGCTGGCTTAAACACTGAGGGTCGGCACCCAATTGTCAGTGATTAGTGCTGTGGCCAATAATTTTGGGGAATTTTCGCCGCTGCAGAGTCCGCTGTCAGGCAATTCTGTGCGTTCCATTGGTAGTGGTGGTATTTCTGAGCGCGTTGTAAGTGATGGTCAATTCAAGAGTCTTTCAAATTGATCAGCCCATTGTTTTATTTATTCCTCTTCCTTGATAATGAGATTCCTTTGAAAATACCTTGTTGTTTTTATCATCTGGGTTGATATCTTCTCCGGTAGACACCTTTTTATCTGACATAATGTCCTGAGGTATCTTTTACCTGCGGCCTGCCTGTTCTGCTTCAGTTGCCAGTGTGTCATAGAATTGTTATTATCTTTCCTAGCACTCCTCTCCACTTATTTATTCAATTCAGTGCAGTGTACATTGAAATGAGCTGCTGCTTTTATTGTCCGCCTCTGCACTGAGTTATCTTCTCTTTCACCAACCTCTTTTCTCCAATAAACTTCCAGGTAGACGTCCGTTAAGAGCCGCTCCTTGTCGTCTCTCTTCTTTCTTCCTAGAACAGTTGTACGCGATCCTTGAACATCACCTTCAGAGAGTTCCAGTGTTCTTCAACTTAAGTTCCCTCACTGATACCTCGTAGTGTCTCCGACTTTGCTCTGACCTGATATGTTGTGAAGACATCCCTTGTAGTTTCTTCCTTCAGTTTCTGGATGTTGAAACTGAATTGTGGTCTGTCGCCAGTCGCTCTGAGGATTTAAACCTTACCTTCAAGGTTTCTCAAGCTAGATGACGGTCTTAGCCCACATCTGCTCCTCTTCTCGACTTTGTGTCCAGCATGCTGTCTCCACTACCTTGAGATTTAGATGAAATCTATCTGGTTTGTGGTATGCCCGTCAGAGGAAGTCCATATTGCTTTGTGTATATCCTTGTGCTATTACACGCAGGCTGCTTCCCATCACCATATTACTGAGGGGACCGAAGTCTGACAATAATGCTCCGTACTCATTCATTTCTCTAGGTGACATCCTCTCGACTCATGATGAGTTCTCTTCCGGTATTATCTGCTCCCAATTCGGCTGGCATTCATATCGCTCACGGGGATTTTGATGTCACCATTTGGGTTGTTGTCCATTACTGATCATAGTTTTCTACAGAAATCTTCCTTCTTTTCTTGTTCCGCGTTATTTGTTGCACTGTGCATAATATTGAATAATTGTGACCTTCCTTCACTCAGTTTCAGGTGAATATTGCTTTCATGGACCCGCAGGATGAGACTGATTCCGAACGCATTCGGGCCACTGATTACATCATGATAGCCACTCACTAACTCATTTTACCCGTGTTTTTCGTCTGGGTGACCAGACCGAAGTAGATTACTAACTCTTCAGCTGAAAATTTAGATAGTTCACATTTATTCCTTATTTCCTGGCAGATTCTCCGCACTTCTACACCATATCTTCTCATTTCTGTGACTGCCTGATCAGCCTTCCCAGTCTTATACATTGTAGGAACATTCCACGTCCTCATTCTCATTCTTGCTTTCATCAAGAGAAGACACATCGGCTAACCTGCTTCCCGAAGTCTTTCACCAGCTCGCCGTGTCACTTCGCCTCTCCGATTCCACCGAAGGATAAGTTTGTTGTCATCTGAATTTTCGGTACTTTTATTATGTTTTCTGTGTGCTGAATTATCTGTAGCGGTTTGATAGGTATACTGGTGTGGGGTTTCTAGCCCCAAGCCCAAACCTCCCTCATTACCCGGTTGTGGGATCAGATGGGAAACTAGCAAGCTAGTTAACTAGGCGAGGTTATACTTCAAAGTAAATGTTAACGAATAGTTGTACGGGTAACTTTTTCGTATGTATACCAGGTAAACTTCTTGATTTCTTATCGGGATCTAAAAAGACTTTTGTGTTCCTAGACAGATTTTCCGCAACAGCTTAGATACCTACTCACATATTTCTGAACAGTGGGTACACACTCCTGTAGAGATATTTCTCCTCCACACCTATGAGATTTTTGTAAGCCTATTACCACGACAGTACACAAATACTACCGCTTAATGGTTTTTGCGACGAGTTTCGTGTGCTGCGTCTAAATAAACCACGAACTCAGCAAGGCAATCAAGGTCAGTACGATGGTGACATGAAGAAGATGATGGAATATTAGTAGTTGTGGAGCCGGTCAGCTGAATAGGACAGCAGGAAATAGAAGAAAGTGGAAACGTCCTGTTGAAGCCCCACGTTCTACTTGGATCCAAAGTGAACAACAAAACAAACTCATCTGGCTGGCTGGCTAAGGTCATTATGTCCGTCTGTTAGGCCGTTTCGTTTTAGGCAGACATAGTTTGGAATTACTGGAAATCGAAATGTTGTTTGATGATTTGGCGTCATTAAAAGTGAATCCACAGTGAAGTGACCTTGAATCAAGCAATCATACTTTACTGAGTAAGAAGCAGCATTTACATGAGCATTTACATCTAGGGGATGCATGGATTAATAATGTATTATGTAGGGTGTCTCTAACCTGCTTCAATAAAGGTCCTAGTTCTTCATTGGAGTAGGTATAAACATATTAGGAGTTCTAGGATTGTAGAAATTTGACGCTTTCCAAGCCTCACTGGGTGGAGCGCAGAAGCTGCGAACTGAATTAGTAATTCGCCACACTAGTGTCTGCAGTCTATTGAACAAATTGGCTTAACTGTACGGTACGCTGGATTCCGTTGTGACCTTCAACCCGAAAAAGTACAGTAGTGCAACCACGCATCTGCAGGCTGCAGAGTGTAGGTCACTCCCTGTATAACTTTTAGCTGTCGTGTTCACTGACAGGGAACGACTTAGGTCAAGTTGTAACGGAAAAGGTAGACAAGCGTGAATGACACGGTTGGCGTGGTTAGGTGACGAGCGGCTATGCTCTTTACTCTTGGACAGTTAGGTGCTCCCACTCCTTAGCTGTCTCTAAGGTTGTTCAAAACATACCTAAGACCACGCCTTTAGGTATACCATATCACTCTTCCCCTACTATTAAGAAGGGACACCAATATTTTTGAAAGATTCCAGAGACGAGCTACAAAAGGGATTGATAGGTCTCCGAAAAAAATCAAATGGTGGAAGGCTGAAGATCTTATGTCTTTCAACACCCAACCGCTGTCTCTTTAGGGCAGACCTAACTACTTCCTAGAAGATAATAAACGAGTAGAATCACTCAAATAAAGGTGTGGTGTCACTACGTAAGTAGGGGCTTCCTCTAGGCAACACAGGTAGCATAGCACATAATAGGATAAAGACTCGAGTTCGCTCCTGTTTATATTTTCTTGGAGCGCACCACCACTGGAAATGGTTACCAGCAACTATGGCCAATGCAGTGTTCAAGAAATATTTCAGTCGACGTCTGGCTAAGCTTACAGAGACTCAACAGCTACACCGAAGTTGCTTATCCACAATAACTTCCCCCTTTACTGATGCTCATTCTCCACTGCCTTACTCTTCATCCGTTTACCTATTTTAATGTTTTTATAGATGTGTGTATACATAAATTTCATCATACATTGGTACATTTTCCCTTTTTTAAGCCTACATATTCCACACTAATTGTAGCTATTATTACCTCTTTTCCCCACAGTACCGACCGGCTGAGAGTGAAAGCATCAGAAAAATTTTCAGGAGTGACATTGTTTTAACACATCTAATACTACGAACGACACATAGATAGTCTCATTTCCACTTCTCTTAGAGTGGACAGTCAAGATACGACAATGACAGCTACGAATATCTAGTGGCAGGATGCACTACTCAGGAGTTTAGTGGGGACTAAGAGCCATTACCGGGGAAGTACAAGAATAGCGTCCCAGCAGTGCGAACGCTCAAATGACCTTGAACGCATGCTAGTCGTTGGCCAACGGTACCTGTCATTATCATAGCTGAAATATCAACCCCATTCATCAAATAAGGAGCAAGTGTTACCCAGATAACGCTTTAAATTACTGTTTGGACAATGTGTTGACATCTCGCTAGGGTTAGGATTAGGCTTAAGGCAAGTATTGGGATTAGGGTTACGGTCATAATTGGGATTAGGGTTAGGTTTACGGCAGGATAAGGATAGTCATTAGGGTCAGGATTAAGGCTAGGGTTGCGATTAGAAATAGATTTGTCGTTTATTTCAACTTGTTTTATGATCCTTATTTTCCATCTCTGTTGTCATCGACGCTCTTACTGAAAGCATAGTAATTTAACCGGGGACTTTGGAGAGGACTACACAGCAAGAGAAGATAGATGAACGATTCACAAAACAGCCAATCTTCAGTCACTTTGATGAATACATCTACAGAAATTAGTCCTACTTAGCAACTGATGCTCTTCATCATAACTGGGACGTATTTTTAAGTCATGTCGGAGAAAGATAATCCCTTTAATGTGTTTTCACGCATTTTCTTGTGAATATACGTCATTTTTTGTGCAAAAATTCCTCAATTTTTATGATCGACAGGCTGAAGGCCATTCGTGCGTTCGCATCCCTTGGGACGCTATTGTTGAACTTTGCCCCATTACCTTACAATCACTAAGCGAGAACAAAAAAAATCAACCCGGCTTACACTAGCTTGTGAAAATGATATTGGATATTGAGTAAGGCGACCGCGTCAATTATAAACTATTCAGGGTCACGTGCGGCGCGCTGACTAATCGCAAGTTGTCGTGTCTTTGTGTCCCTCGGTTTTCTTGTATCTGAATATTAACTGCCAGACAAAGGTAACTGGGGCTTGGGCTATGCTATTTTAAATTTCCTCTTCTTTCTGATTTGTCCCAAGTTTACTGTTGAGCTGAATTAAATCTCGCTAATTCTGAACTAACTAACATTCTGTAATGAGTAAATTCTGAAATACTTTGATAATGCCCACAGACTAGAACTCATTGCTGGTTTGCCACGTGAATTGGACTATTTAAGCACCCTGTGTGTTTTCTGGGCATTTTTAGAAATAGCTCAGAACCTACTGGGTTTGCTAATCAACGTTGTTTCAGTCCAGATTCAGCACTGGCTAACATTACATCAGCTTATACTGGCAGTTTTTCCGCTTTATTTCAGCATTAAAATCATTCCAGCTGCGAATCCAATTTTAAGGTTTCGTCGCAATAATCAAGCATTCAATGTCTTTTTAAGAACAACAACATTATTTCAGTACATGACAGATTCATCTTAGGTAGATAAATTATTCCTTCGTCATAAAGAGGAATTATTGACGCATAGGTTGGAATTAGTTAAAAAGTGCTGTAAGCTTGGTATCTATAGATATCTAAGTAGAGTTCGAACTATCCTCACTATTTGTAGTCAGCCATTTTCATGTATCAGCTCCTGTCCTCTGTCATGATTCACCTAGATTTCATTTCTTATTATTTTGCTTAGTACCTTAATCCACCTCATATGCCAGGTACTTTTTCATACGCGAATAATGCGAAGAAGTGCAGGCTTTTACGTTAACAAACATAGTAGTACTAGAATGTATGCAGCTGTAGTGAAAAGCCACTCTGGAATTATCACCTTGTAGGGCACCTTGAGTGTTTTGAGTTTTTGTTATAACGTTTACATGTACGATGGCGGTACGCCATCTCTTCTTGCTTGTTTGCTTTCATTCATTGTTTATTGGATCATCCACTCTGTGCTGGGAACACGCGCATTTCTTAGAGTCCGTAGCTCAGCCATACCAGCCAGATGAGTCCTAAAATCTCCTCCCTTAATAACCTTAACATTCATATTCTGCTTAAATATATTGCTCAGTGAAACATCCTGCTAAATAAATTTTTTAAAATTTTTTGTCTGGTTATCAGTCCGTACAAGTCAGGTAAAGTACTGATTAGGCACATTACGTTTAGTAAGACTTGTATGGTGGGATATAACCACTACAACTTCCCACTCTTTACACTGGCGAGCCTGTGTTTCACTGTTTGCCTTATTTGTAGTCTAACGTCGCAATAATTGTACTTTTTGATATCGATTATTTCGTTTTTTATTTTTTGCACGTAGCCTGGCAACTCTTTTTGTACTGTTTTATCATTGTTTCTATATCGTATTAACTTATCTCAACGATGGCTAAAAACGGCTCTCCTGCGCAGATGGCAGTTACCCTGCAGCTTCCGGTTTCTGGACACACCGTCCTTCTGCATGGTTCAGTCATGTGAATTCTCAGTTTGCTCCAAGGCATTTCGACTCACAAGAAACTAAGGTGCGTCGGCGAGGTCTCGAACCCCGGACCATGTGCATGGTTGGCGAGAGTCCTAACCACTGTGCCACCGACGCACACAGTTATCGAGTTCCGACGCGGTGGCCCATATCACTAAGCCTTACGATGAGCTATGTAGCGTTAGATAAGAGATGAAAGCCAGAAGTCCCTCCCGAAGTCGTGTGACCCCTTCCCGTAATAGGTCCTGATTGATGAACATGGCATTCAGCCTTTACCTGGAAAGGTGCAGGCCACACAACACTTCTCAGTGCCAACGTCCCTAAAATCTTTGCACACGCTTCTAAGCATAGTTACTTATTACCGTCGGTTTATTCCTCAATGTGCACATTCTAACTGCACTCACAAATCTACTAAAAGGTAAGTGCAAAACATTAGGTATGACATCAAAGGCTCTGTAAGCGTTTAAAAATTAAGATGGCAATTGCAGACGCAATTATGTCTGCATCAGACTGTAAAGCTTCCCCTCAGTATTTCCGTCGATGCATCTAACACAACTGTTGAAGCTGTCGTTCAACAACTTATGAACGACTCATGTACACCTCTTGCCTTCCATTCCAGAAAGCTGTCTGCAGGTGAAATGCGATATAGCACGTTTGGTCGCAAATTACTTGCCATCTACGCTTTCACCAAATACTTCAACCACTTCCTCGAAGGTTTCCAGTTTATTGTCTTCACTGATCATAAACCTTTGACGTACGCTCTTCATACGACTACCGACAGTTACTCGCTCCGTGAACTGCGTCATTTAGACTACGTTTCACAATTCACATCAGATATCCGTCATATCTCTGATACAAATAATCCAGTGGCAGACTCACTGTCTCGCATTTGATCCACTTTAGTTCATCTTGCAGTGAAGTTACATCGACTGAGATGTTTAGGATATGTGTTACGCATGCCTAGTCATCGCCTTCCTCGACGGCCAGTGTCAGCTGACATAGGGTCAGGTTGGAAAAGAGCCAGTGGTGGTCAAACCGAAACATGGCTTCACCAGTCAATGGAATCCATAACAATTAGTTAAAGCCAGCGACGTAAGAAGATGTCGACTTCCTGGTTGGGGTCCTCGGGATGATAAAAACCAATGAAGATTGGAGACAATTGGTGATAGGGCTCAAAATCGTTCGCAATGGCTGATGTAGATGCATTCACTCCTTATGACTTATAATACCCAATAAAACTATATTGTCCGTCGATACTTCTATTCTTTTTGCCTCATATCTCTGTTTACTGTCCTTTTTCTGCATTTCTTTATACTTTCATCTCGTGCTTTTGTGTGCTACATGGAGTGTGGCAACTCGAACCGCTGCGCATTTGTCTGTCTGTCTGGATTCAGCATAGAACTTGGCACCGAAGTACAGCAGTTAGAGTTACCACGTTCCAAATAGCACACAGAGGTAGACAACAAGATGAGTGAAGAAAATCAATACAGTCTGACAAGTATAAGAGTGAAATAGAATGGGTAATGGTAAAAAGGAATATGAAAGATTACAGAGACTGAATACATCTGCGCTGGCCATTGACAACGATTTTGAGCCATGTCACCTATTGTCTCCAGCCATTGATTCCTAGAGTCAGTCCCGAGGGCCCCAACCCGGGAGTCTGCATCCCCTCCCTACCTGACTCAGTTTAACTGCCAAGGATTTCATGGATTGATGAGGCCATGTTTTTGTTTGGCCACCAATTACTCTTTTACAACCTGCACCTATATCAGCTAGTAATGCCCGTCGGGGGAGGCGATGGTTATGCATGCGCACCACGTGACCTAGCCATCCCAATTTATGTAACTTTATAGCTTCGTCGATTGATTTTCCCTGTTTTCCCAACACTACGCTTAACGTCAACATTACTTACCTTGTGAAACCACCTAACGTGAGACAGGGATCTCAGACATCTATGATCGAAAGCAGTCAACCTTTTCATGTCTTCAACGCGTATTGGCCATGTTTCAGAGCCCTAGAGAAGGACAGAGCGAACTGATGAGCAGTACACACGTCCCTTGGTTGATAGCCAGCCGGATGTCACGCCTACGCCAGAGATGGTGTAAGTCAGCGAAAGCAGCTCGAGCTTTTTGGATCCGTGCTGAGATTTCGTCGCCAATCAGTCCGTTGGTGCTGTGATACAACTTCTCAAATAGGTGAAGTGGTCAACATGTTCTATCACTTCACTCCCTATCGCTAAGTTAGAGGTTGACGTGGTCCAGTCCTGTAGCAGCATCTTACATTTTGTAGGGGCGAATCGCATGCCAAACATACGAAGATTGTTGCTCAAGGTGTTCAGAAGACTCTGCATTTTGTCACCATCCTCCCCTAACAGGACTATGTCATCTGCATATTCTAAGTCCATAAGACTATTCCCTGGCAACAAGTCGATTCCTAAGTCGTTACGTTCAGTTAAGGATACTTCCATCAGCATATCTATGATGAAGTTAAACAGAAATGGGGAAAGTGGATATCCCTGTCGGACACCACTGGTTGTTATCAATTCAGATGACAATTCGCCATAAGCCCTTACACAGCTACATGAGTTTGAATAGCGTGCCTTAATTAGTGCAATGTACTTTCTTGGCACTCCCTTCACAGTCAGACATTGCCATAGTACCTTTCGATCCACGGAGTCGAAGGCCACCTTCAAGTCAAGAAATATGACAATTGTTGGACGCCGAAAAGTGTGTCTATGTTCTAGAATCTGTCGGAGAGTGAAGAAATGATCTATGGACCCTCTACCTGGTCTAAAGCCTGCTTGATTTTCCCTCGTCTGTTCCTTCCGAGTTCTGCTTAGTCTGTGCATGATTACTTAGCCTAGGATTTTAGAGACTATTTATTTATTTAAACGCATAAAAACTTGGTACAATATGGCAACAAGATGGATGCGCCACACAATAATAATAAAACAACATAGATCAAAAGAAAAAAGGAAGAAGAGAAAAAAAATATGTAAGTAGAGAACGGATAAAGAACTTCATCTGGAAGGAAAACAGTCATGCTTAACAAGTTCAAATAGTATTCGTTAACTATCATCGGGAAGGGAAGAAAGAAGGAAATTGCAACACGTGTAATAGCACGCGATAAGTTTCATTGATTGTTTGTTGCTTCATTCAATTCATTGTGTGAGGGCTGAGACATTGCCCGGGCGCCCAGACCGAAGCAGGTGGTTTTATTAAGGGACCACCTCCCGAGCCTTTGACTTGGACTCTAATCCGCACGGCAGCGGAGCAGCGTCAGGAGCTGCATTCCCATGGTTTCCGGTGACCCATATGGGTTCATACGTCAATTGATCCGATTGGATACTGGAGCCTATGCACCCGATGGTAACTGCTTTTAGTTTAATCGCTATCCAGAAAACCTCCCTGACATGGTAGTACCTGTAGAGATAGAGTCCCAGTCAGTTTAGCATGTTGGGTCATTACGGTATTCAAGCCCGACCACCACGAAAAGGTAGCAGTTATCGGCAGGATTTTAGAGACTATGTTCGGTAGGCTGATCCCCCTATGATTATCATACGAGGACTTGTTTCCCTTCTTGAATATCGGTATAATAAGTGACTTACCCCAGTCTGATGGAACCGTCTCTGATTCCCAGACTTTGCCTAGTACCTCAGTTAATCTACAAACTAGTATGTCACCTCCATATTTAAACACCTCCGAAATAATTCCGTCGGGTCCTGCCGCTTTGCCTCGTTTCAAATTACAGATGGCTTTTGTGGCCTCACTTACAGACGGCGGACCAGTGTCTATATCCCATTCGGGTGTGTGCTGGATGTTGGGGAGGTTTAGTGTGGTTGTAGGCAAGTTAAATTGTCCCTCAAATTGTTCTTTCCAGCGTTCAAGGCGTCTATCCTGCGTATTTGTGCAAACTTTTAAGTTGAAACCAGTCAATCAGTCAGTCAGTAAAGGCTTCTATAAATGTTACCGGGGAGGGGGGGATGACTGATAGACTCGAGAAGGATCTTGAAAGATCGCTTCATACTGGAGTGTGCGCCGAAGGTGTTTAGAAAGACATTGAAAGATTCGCAGCTAAATCATTCAGACTAGAGAACACAACTACACCGGTAATTGTGGGTCTTTTATACCTGATGATGAATACTTGTACATATCGCCTCTGTAATGTATATGAGAATAGTTTTATTTATTTTACTTTTATTACAGCTTGATTCCACACAGTATTATTGGTACAAGTATGAAATTTTCAGCATGGATATCGGTAGCCCAAATTTTGCAGGCCGACCATAGATATCAAATGTGAGTCGGCAGGGGATCGAACCCCGGACCATGTGTATGATCGGCGAGAGTCCTAACCACTGTGCCACCGACGCACCTAACTTTGTAATTAATGTTGACATTAGATAGATAGTCTTCAGGAATCAGGGAATACGCTCGGAAAGTTTTACTTTCGCCACCTTTAAACATTGCAGGTGTAGTTGAGCTGAGAACCGTTACACCCCATCCTTCATGTACGTAACTATTTAGCTTGTATATCGGAATTTAGGGTTTTCATTTGTAAACTTCTGCTGACTTATACTGTAGTGTGAGGGAATCAAATCTATTACCGGTTATAGTTATCATCCTCACACTCGACTTTGTGAACTCCATTGGTGACGATTTCTCACTAAGGGCAGGTAGTCATGAATATCCGCGGGTTAATTTTTAACTTTGGAGATTCGCGTCAAGTTGACAGTGGGCAGTCAGGATAACAACTTTTATGAGAGAAACCATTTTTTTCCTTGTAAATTACCATTGACACGTTATTCTATTACCTTTTGCTGCTCTTTATTATAGCATGCCTTTCCTAAATGACGAGGAGATTTCTAGTGATGAGTCGGTAAGTATACAAGTGAATTTATATGCCTTATTTGTTATTACAGATTGAGTGTGAAGATGTGGAAATCGAGTAAGACTGCTTTACACACTTTAATTTCACATTATTGGTGATAATTAGTTATGAAAATCTAGCCAACAATGAAGCATCCCAACTACCACCTCCACCACCCACTTATCCACCATCAACACAGAAGAATTCTGCAAAGTAATCATATTTTTCCTTTTTTTAAAATATTTATATTGTTACATTGTAGAAAAACAAAAAATCCTTCTGAATTACGTGTTAGCAAAGGCAGAGTGTTAAATTATCTTCGAATACCAAAAGCTGTTGATTTCATGTCTCCAGATTTGACTGAATATGTTACAGAAACACAAAGAGCAAGTTTAATTGCACAACTCAAAGCTAATAAAGACTGATTCAATTCAACGTATTTTTGTTTTTTTTGTTGTTGTCAGTCCTACTGGTTAAGATTATTGCCGCTGAGTAGGCAAGTAGGCAAGCGTTGCCGCATCTTTGGAAGCCTAGTTTGCGTTCATTTACATCTCATTTATTCGACTCTGTAACTCACTATTATACAGTTTTGCTGTGAGGCTTCTAATAAAGGAAAGCATATATCTTTTGAGGCTTTTTTAAATTTTCCGTTGATTTATTCTGCCAGATGGAAAGGTTCGGTCTCTTTGTTGATATGTCGACTCATAGTAAAGACGTCCAGACGACTCCTTGAAGTTAACTCGATATTATTTGGTTGGCAGTAAAATCCGGGAAACACATACCATCGTCCTTGGGACTCATCAGGTGAATGTACCTGTTTCTCAGTAAGCAACAGCACTCATACTCAGATTCGTATCGTGCTGTCTAGATTTCACCGTCAAGCTAATGAGATTGAGAATGAAAATACCATTTAATTGACTGTTTGTAAATATAAGTTGGATAATTGGCATTTATTTCTGTAATGGATATATAAGTAGTTATTTTCCACTTCTGTAGTGTTCGCAGAGACTAATTTATGTAATTACTGTTTATTATCAAGACACAAACTAGGTACATTATGGTCACAAAGACATGCCTAGTATGTCTAGTCATCGCCTTCCTCGACAACAGGCAATGTTAACCGATATAGGGTCAGGCTGGAAGAAAGCTAGCGGAGGTCAAACCAAAAAATGGCTTCACCAGTCAATGAAATCCACAACAGTTATTTTAAGCCACCCACGTAGGAAGGTGTAGACTTCCTGACTGGTTGGGGTCCTCGGGACGGTAAAAACAAATGGTTGGAAACAATTGGTGACATGGCTCAAAATCGTTCTCAATGGCCAGCACAGATGTATCCACTCCTTGTGATTTATGATTTCCAATGAAACTGTTTTGTTCTTCGTTATTACTATTCCTTTGTCTCACACCTCTGCTTACTGTCTCTATTATGCCTTTTTTGTACTTTCTTCTCTTGCTTTTGTATGCTACAAGGAGGGAGTGTGGCGACTTGAACTTCCGCACATTTGTGCAAAGTTCTATGTCGAAAACAGACAGACAGACAGAGACAAAGAGATGCAGCACACGAAATCTTATACTTTGTGGTAGAGGTAGAATACTGCTCGGAGTGCCAGACCGAAGTAGATGACTTTCATAAGAAGCCACTCTGCGAGCCTTTGACTTGAAGTATGATCCAGAGGCATTGGGGCAGCGTGAGGAACTGTATTTCTATGATTAGGAAGTCTGTTTTTTCCTACAGTTCTGTACTATTCTTTACTTTTCATTCCTTATACTCAATTATGTCATGGTTTATGTCAAAAAGGCATTTTAATTCCAACTGTTCCATCCTCTGATTATCTTAGATAATGGAATGGATAGTTTATTAACTTTCAAAGTTGTTAGCTGATATAGGTTCAGGTTGGAAAAGAGCCAGTGGTGGCCAAACAAAAACATGGCATCAATCCATGAAATCCTTGACAGTTAAACTGAGTCAGGTAGGGAGATGCAGACTCCCGGGTTGGGGCCCTCGGGACTCTAGGAATCAATGGCTGGAGACAATAGGTGACATGGCTCAAAATCGTTGTCAATGGCGCACATGTATTCAATCTCTGTAATCTTTCATATTCCTTTCTACCATTACCCATTCTGTTTCACTCCTATATTTGTCAAACTCTATTAATTCTCTCCACTCATCTTCTTGTCTACCTCTGTGTGCTATTTTGGAACGTGGCAACTCGAACTGCTGCACTTCGGTGCCAAGTTCTATGTTGAATCCAGACAGACAAAGTTGTGTACCTCTAAGCAGAATGAGAAACCTAATATACTCTCTTTCCTCGAAGATCCAGAAGATTTGCACTGAAGAGTCAATCGACGAAGAATTACAAAGTCTCCAAGGCACTTTGATAGAAAATGGATTCTCACCCAGATTCATAGACAAGAATCTAAAACCGAGGAAAACACCTGAAAAGGTCCAAGTTGCCCCCCCATCCCAAAAAAAGATTCTGATTTTGAACCTCGAATTTAAAAATGATACCGAAGCAGAAATTCTCCGTAGACAGCTTTCGAAGTCTCTCAGCAAAACATACTTTGCCGTTAGCCTACGAATAACATTCTCCTGCGAGAAACTACTCACACAACACGTGATAGATAAGCTGTCTCATTGGGCCACTTCAACCTGCATATACCAGTTTACTTACTCCTGCGGAGCTGAGTACATTGACCCTATCATGCGCCAACTTGAAAAACGCGCTCGTGAACACTATCCAACTTGTCTAGTAAAAGGAGAACGAAAAGGTGTATGCAATTGAGTGACAGAACAATCTGGTCAATTCAGCGCCATTAGAAAAATCCTTTAAAATAATACACAAGATTTGATCAAACCTATCAAAGGGAGTAAAATTAAGACATATGGGCATAGCCGAAGCACTAGCTATCCCCAAAAGCTCAGACCCACGCTGTGTATCCAAAAGAAATACGTCCAAGCGTTTACCATTTTTCTTTTTAGCTTATCAGGTTTTGCAAATAATTACCCCAACTTCTGTACTTGGGGATTTCTGTGTCTTGTTAACATCTGGTCGATTTTTCCTTCGCATCTGACGAAGAGGTTTACATTTTTGCATATGACCCAATTAATTATGATTTTGGTGTACGCTGTGTACACCGTAAAAGAGATAGTGAATAGATTGCCTAGATTGATTTTTTTTTGGAATACATAAAGGAAAATAATAGCTCATTGATAATTTGTAACTTTTAATGGTGATCTGGTTAGTAGGTATACAATCATAATCCAAGGCACACAATTCGAACTCAATCAGCTGTGTAGGAGCTTACGGAGAGTTGTAATCTAAAGTGATATGATAACCAGTGATATCTGACAGGGATGTCCACTGTCATCAATTTTATTTAATTTCACCGTAGGTGTACAAATGGCATTGACCCTAACTAACTTTAGCGAATTAACGATTGACTTGTTGACTTGGAGTAGGAAGGATGATACAATCCTTCTAGGAGAAAACGCTGATAAAAAGCAGAGTCTTCTGAGCACCTCGAGCAGAAATCTTCGAACGTTTTGGCACACAATTCGCGCCTGTCAAGTGTAGGATGATTCTATAGGATGGGATTACCTTGACTTCTAGGTTAAAATTAATGACTGAAGTGATCTGTCTGTCTGTCTGTTTTCGACATAGAACTTTGCACAAATGTGCGGAAGTTCAAGTCGCCACACTCCCTCCTTGTAGCATACAAAAGCAAGAGAAGAAAGTACAAGAAAAGCAAATAGAGACAGTAAACAGAGGTGTGAGACAAAGGAAGAGTAATAACGAAGAACAAAACAGTTTCATTGGAAATCATAAATCACAAGGAGTGGATGCATCTGTGCTGGCCATTGAGAACGATTTTGAGCCATGTCACCAATTGTTTCCAACCATTTGTTTTTACCGTCCCGAGGATCCCAACCAGTCAGGAAGCCTACACCTTCCTACGTGGGTGGCTTAAAATAACTGTTGTGTATTTCATTGACTGGTGAAGCCATTTTTTGGTTTGACCTCCGCTAGCTTTCTTCCAGCCTGACCATATATCCGCTAACATTGCTCGTCGAGGAAGGCGTTGACTAGGCATACATAACGCATGTCCCAACCATCTCAGTCGATGTAATTTCGCAGCCTCGTCGATTGATTTCCCCTCCTTACCTAACACTCGATGCCTCGCCTCAATATTGCTCACCTTATTATACCATTTCACACGGGTGATAGAGCGAATACACATATGATCAAAGACAGCTAATCTTTTCCTGTCTTCCATTCACAATGGCTACGTCTCACTGCCATAAAGGAGGACGGAGCGGACTGATGAGCAGTACACCCGCCCTTTGGTCGATAGTCGAACATCTCGTCTACGCCAGAGTCGGCGTAGACTGGCATATGCGAAACGAGCCCCCTGTATTCGTGCTGAGATTTCGTCAGAGATCAACCCGTTGACACTGGCTGATGGTACTTCCCAAATAAGTGAAGCGATCAACGTGCTCTACTACTTCACTTCCTATTTTTAAACTAGGCGTCGCTGTAGTCCATTACTGTAACATCATCTTGCATTTGGCGGGAGCGAATCGCATGCCAAACATTCGTAGATTGCAGCTCAAGGTGTTTAGAAGACTCTGCGTTTTGTCAGCGTCTTCGCCTAGAAGAACTATATCGTCTGGATATTCTAAGTCGACGAGACTATTCCCTGATAGCAAGTCAATCCCTGAGTCGCTGAAGTCACTTAGGGTTAATTCCATTAGTACATCTGTGATGAAGTTGAATAGAAATGGGGATAATGGGTATCCTTGACTGACACCACTAGTCGTCACCAGTTCAGATGACAGCTCGCCGTAAGCCCTCACCTGGTTGCATGAGTACGAGTAGAGTGCCTTAATCAGTGCAATGTATTTTCTCGTCATTCCCTTTACAGCCAAGCGTTGCCAGAGAACCTCTCAGTCGACAGAATCGAATTCCGCCTTTAGGTCAAGAAATATAATGATTGTTGGACGCCGGTAGGAATGCCTATGTTCTAGAATCTGTCGGAGGGTGAAGATATGATCAATACACCCTCTTCCTGGTCTAAAGCCTGTCTGGCTCTCTCGTGCCTCCCTCTCGTGTTTGTGCCTAGATAGAGACAGATAGTGATAGAGCTTGTTTACCACTTAAGTTATTCGGGAAGTTGCATCATTCCTAACGGGGCTGGTCACTGACGATCGCCGATACAAAAGGTTCATGTGGTATTTGCCGACTTACGCTATCCCTGGCGTAGACTAGATATCCGGCTATCCTTCAAAGGATATGTGTTTCAGTTGGCTCCTCCCTTCTTTATGGCTGTAAGACATGGTCATTGTACATGGGAGATATAGGGAGGCTAGGTGTCTTTGACCATAGACGTTTTGCATTCTCTCCCCCGTGTTAGGTGGTATAACATGGTGAGAAATATTGAGGTTAGGCACAGAGCTATTTGTGGTCAAGCAAAAACACATCTTCAGTCCATGAAGTTTTTAATAGTTAGTTTGGAGCCGGGTATGGAGGTGTAAGCTGCCTTTTTTTGGGGTTCCTCGTGATTCTACGAATCGGTGATATGGTTCAAAATCGTTCTCAGTGATCTGCTATATCCAACAAATACCCTATTGTTTCTCTATGTTACTATTCTTTCTACCCCCTCACAGCTCTGATTATTATCGTTGTTTGAAATGTCTTTTCACCCTTTTTGTTTTCATTTGTGAGCTACACGGAGTGTGGGAACTTGAACTGTTGCACTTCTGTGCCAAGCTCTACATTGAAACCAGTCGTATCCAGGACTATCTATAAAGGCCACATGTACTGTTAAGTAATTCTCTTCATCCTCCCTTATGACTATGACACATGTTCATTCAAAGTGGAAGATGTAAAAAGGCTAATTTGCCTTGACGACGGATATTTACGTCCTCTCCCCCGTGTTAGATGGTATAATAGGGTGAGTAATATTGAGGTTAGGCGTTGTAGAGTGTTAAGTAAAGAGATTAAGTTATTATCGATGAAGTTATGAAGGTGATTCGTTTGAGATAAACAGGACACGTGCTGCGGATGACGAGCTACCGTCTCGGCTGACAGGATTATGCTGCAAAAGAGCAAAGGTACGTCAAACTAAAACCTTTTATCAATCCATAAGAGTCTTTGACTATTCGTTTGAGCTATCCACCAACGGAGGTATAGACTGCCTGCTTTTTTGGGTTTTTCGGGATTCTTAGGACAGATACCTGGAGACAGTTAGTTGGTGATATGGCTGAAAATCACTCAAGCTTGAAAAGTCATTTGTACTATAATAATAATAATAATAATTATAAGTGAGTAAAATTATATTATCTTCATTTCCAAAAAAGAAATTTAACTAAGAAAATAGAACAATGAAGGCTTTTCTTATTTGAAAACTTTCAAGTGAATAAACTGCTCATTCTGAAGGGCAGGTGTGACAGTGCGGAAAGGGAACAGTCGGAGGAGGTGTTCACATGTTAATTTGGTGAATAATCAGAGGAAGACAAGAAATGTAATATTCAGAAATGTGGTTTTTTTCAATTATCACAGGGTATGTATGAGATGGAATAGTAATCTGTTTCATGGACTGGACTATGATTAAAAAAATAATGATTATTATAGGTGAGTCTTGTATCCATCCCCGTACCGTGCCATTTTCTTCCCCACCCGTGTGCATGTTTGCGTGTGTGTGTGTGTATGTTCCGTAAGAAATTTGAGATGACGTAATTATCCGAATTGGTGTATACCGATTTGTATTTTTTCATTCAATCATATCAATGTACAAGAAGTGATGGACAAAATGATCAGCCAAGTATTTTTTGATTTATAAATGCACATCAAAACAGAATTTTCATTTCACTGATAGTTATGGATTTGGAAGATATTCATATTTATTATCTGGTGTTATAACTAATAAATATCCTTGTTTTGGACCTGTGAGTATAGTAGGTTGAAGATTGGAGGAAGTTGGAGGGTCTTGATGTTGTTGTTGTTGTTGAGAGGTTGACTGTTGGTTTATCTGATTTGATGGTAATATTACAACAGCATTTGTAGGTGATGCAGTCATCACTCTTGGATTCACTCCACTAGTGGCTGGTAAGCCTACAAAGACTGAATCAGAATGAGGTATTTGAAAAACAAGCGGTGTGGCTTTGTTCAACCCAGGGGGAATTTTTCCATCTTCGATAGAACTAAGCATATGATGAGTAGGCATAATGACTATGGGATATTGAGGATTAGTATGAAGGCAATTTGAAATTTCTTGTAGAATCTATACAGAAAAGAAAGGAAAAAGAGTTGAACGGTTTATCCTTTCCTATCTACAAAAAGGCAAAGTTGTTAGCATTTTGATTAATATGATAAATAATAATAATAATAATAATTCTTCCTTCACGTTCCCCACTGGAACATAGGGCTCCAAGCTAGTCGCTTGAAGTTTCTGTAGCAGTGGTGATCATTTTTACAGGATGGGGTTGCTGCTGGCCACATGCCCAACCTTTCCTCTTTACCAGTCTTGTTACTGGCCTAGCAAGGTAAAGGAGTGGGTCGGCCGGGGATAGAACCCCAGACCATATGCATGGTCGGCGAGCGTCCTAACCGCTATGTCATCGACGCCTAACATGACAAATAGAAAGGTATCAATTAATAATGACGATAAGTTTTAAGAGATTCTGAGTTCTATCCCTTGTGGGAGTACGGCTGCGTATTACGGGAGAGTACCGAACAAGGACGAAACAGCTGTCCAGTACTCCCAGGTTTTCAATGGTTCTCTACATAAAGTCACTTTGCGATCACTCCTCAGATCTAAATGAGTTGTTGCCTAGTGAGTGAGACACTTTGAACATTTAATTTCAAGAAATGAAAGTATTTAGGTCTATATTAAACGTTTTGTTAAAGGGGCTGTTCTCTGAATGTATATGTGTAAAACTTGGGCTCTGTGGTTGTATGTAATTTCCTATTGATTTGTTTATTAGATGTATCTATCACACAGTGATTAAAAAGTATTACTGTTTACTGGATGATGTTTCGAACACAGTTTTGTTCATGATCAGGTCATCAGTTATAACCACACGACTTCGAAACTTGAGTTTTACAGATTTCGTTATTCTCTCTTATATGTCTTCGTGGGGGTAGTAGGATTTTCCAGATGTCCGGATGGACAGGTGTTGATTCATTCCTGCTGCACGTGTCTGCCGTTGGTTTGATAGGCATAGCTTCCGTTATCGATCTCTCCCTACGCCCGGCTGTTATATCAGATTTTAAAATTGTCATGTTATCCTATCCAGCCTATTTGTGAGGTTGTGTGTAATTGCATGTAGTGCCAAGGAGAATCTAAGATAGGAAGTGAGGCATATAAGAGAAGCTTTCAAACTTAATAATTACCCTGATAACTTAATCAGAAAGTACGTAGGAAAATGTAGAAGTAAAAATTATGGTAATAGTGATAATAATAATAAAAATAAAGACATACATGTCATAAATTCACAACAATGACAATAGGGAATATAAATCATGAGCAGTATTCTTCTTATTTATTTTATTCCTTTAAGTTCCTAATGGAACTATAGGGCTTCAAGCCAGAGCTTTGAAGTTTCGGTAGCAGTGTTTACTTTTACGGCGTGGGGTCGCCAGCCTCACGCATAGCCCTCCCTCTTTAGTGATCCTACTGTAACAACAGAAGACAAGGGCCGGCAACAGATCGTTTTATTACGGAAATCAGCAAGTATTTATATATATGTCATGTACATTATTATAATAGCTTATTCAAGCAGACAAACACAGTCTTCTGATTGGTTGTTTCTGGTTTCTCGGAAAGTTAAGCCATATATCTGCGAATCTTATATGTCCACGTTAAGTCTGCTGTGATTGGTTGTTGAATCAGCCTTGTTCATATTTTCTCGCGGCCAATATTAGTGACCTAGATATTAACGTAAATTAATGTCTACCAATTGGCTAGCAGCCTGCTCTCACCACACTACTACCAGCTTAAAGAGGTAAAGGAGTGTGTCTGCCGTGGATCGAATCCCAGACCACATAAGTGGTTGGCGAGTTTTCTACCTTGTACCACCGACGCGTACAAAGAAGAAACCTTACACCGAATTCCTAACACTAAAGGCAGGAATAAAAGTGGCTGGCATTCAAACCCACAAACTCAATTAGAAATAAGCTTAGTCGGTTAAAGGATCAATCCTGTGGAGCCAATTCAACAAAACAATTCAGTTTATTTAATGCTCTGTCTGCAATGATTGTCAGGTCAAATGCATAGGGCAAAGTAGTAGAACAGGTGCAGTTAGACTAGCCGAGTATAAAAACCTAGCAAAATTTAGATTGGTTGACCGTAATAAGACAAACATTCTGGAGAATATTTCAGCTATAGCACTGACCACATGCAATTACACACAACCACACCAATAGGATGCATGGGATAAGATGACAGTTTTAAAATCTAATGCAACAGCAGAGTGAAGGGAGAGATTGATAACGGAAGCTTTGTTTATCAAACCAACGAACGGTAAACACGTGTGATAGAAATGATTCGGCACCTGTCCCAGACGGATATTTAGAAAATTCGACTACCCCTACGGAGAAAAATAGTAGAGAACAAAGAAAACTGTAAAACTCTGTTTGCCTTTCGTATTTTTATTCGTTCCAGAAGTTCACGGTTATTGCTGTCAACACATGCCGTTTAATTGATATAGTTGTTGAATAGATATTTCAATCTTATAATTGATGTCATTTACAATTTTATGCCTATGAATGAAGTAATTTGGAAACTTCGTCAATACTACGGGGTACCCCATACCCTTAGGTTTATTCTACAAATATATGACGATGCAACATAGCAAGTGGTTCATACGAAGAATTCAGGAGTAAGACAAGGCAACCTGCCTATTACCACCGAAATTATTCCTGGTTGTGGTGTACTGGACCGTGCAAAAAAAAACTGTGGGAAATGAGTAGACAGGTATACGGTGGACCAAACAGAAGGCACTGGAAGATCTGGACTTCGTAGATGATTTATGTCTAATATCACACAAACTCGACGATCTACATACGAAAATCGACAAGTTGTCAGAAGAATCAGCGAAAACAGATCTTCAATTGAAGATAGATACCCAACCGACCAACAATACCGCCAAGTACCAGTCACTTAATTAGTCAGCATCTTTTCACCTACAGTCAGTATAGATGAGGATGTTGAAGACAGGTTTGGAAAAGCAAGACAGACCTGCATTACTCTGAAATAGGTGTGGAAGTCTACTGTACTCCGCATAAGGAACAGAGTTTGGACTTTCAACACTAATGTCGAAGCAGTGCTTCTATATGACTCAGAGACTTGGTGCATTGTCGCCATAGGAAAGGAGTTACACCATTTCGTCAACAGTTGATTTCGTTGTACACTGAAGATTAGATGGCTAGCTAGAGAAGTGAGCAACGAGTTGGCCATCTGACGGTGATCAGTGCTACTTTGTAGACGAAAGAAAATCACTGATGTTGAAGTTCATGAAGGTTAACAAATGGGTTGACTGATATTTTCGGTCTGTCTGTCGGTAGTAACTTTTATGCATTGAAATAAATGCTCCTTAATTTTTCATAGTTTAACTTGGTGGTGCATGTAAATTAAAAAAAAACTGTCCTAAGAAATGAATATTTCATTGCAAAAGAGTTTTCTTAATATTATTTTAGCGACTAACTGGTAGTTTTAATGTGTGAGCAAATAAATAGCGTCAGTTGTTCAAGGATAGGATGCACTTTAAGCAAACATGCACATGGTCCGGGCTTGATTTCCGATAGACGCTCTCCCGAACCTCGTTTAATTTACTGGCTCGGAGGAGAGGGAAGCTTAGAGGTTGTGTGTGTGTGTGTGTGTGAAACTAGCAACCCTACCTGATAAAAAAGAAACAAGATCGCCTCTACTGTAGCTTTAAAATACAACCTGAAGCCCTATACTCTACTCAGGATGCAAAGGAATGCAGAAAACAAAGTTATTTTCGCTAAGTTTACATCAAACCGCGTAAATGGGGAAACGATATGCCTCAGTTATAACAGTTACGAGAAAATTTTACTGGACCTTATATCTTTTGCTTAGTTGTTTTCAGTATTCATTTGAGTATCAGACATATAGGAACAGAAATTTCATCGACTAGGTTGTGTGTGATAGTTAAGATCGCCAGTACCACTCCCCAGTTTTCGTTTACCTCTTATATCAATTGCACCTTACAACTGTCTGTATCATTTGAACTGTTATTTTGTATCATATGTTTTTAATAGAGAGTGGTCAGGATGTCTACTTTTTCTCTTCTCATGAAGTCATCTTGGAACTTATATGAAATAAACCACTTTCGGTTATTTGATAATTACAGATTAGATGAGGGATTTCATCATGAGCTGACATCAGCTAGAGAACCACTGGAAAACCTGGGAGTACTGAACAGCTGTTTCGTCAGCCTAGTTTGGGCCTCTTCATCACTACGCACCCACCGGGGTACGACAGGTTGAAGGTGAGGCAGTAACTCATCGAAGAAGACATTGTGAAATGGTCGCGCTATGCTGTGAATTGGCAGAAGTTAGAATTCAAGGGCCATTGGATTGGGCCCCACTGGATTAATGGTCTACAAGCTCGCCTTGTAACCATGAGGTCTTGGGTTCGAACCTTGGCAGTGGGTACGTACTGATGAAGAGTCCCAAACTAGGCTGACGAAACAGCTGTTCAGTACTTCCAGGTTTTCCAGTGGTTCTCTAGCTGATGTCAGCTTATGCTGAAATCCTCCATCCAATCAAACAAAATCCCTACAAAACCAGTACTTGAAAATTACAGATTAATCCACACAAAGAATCGTTCACTTGTTTGATCTTACCCTGTTGATTTTCTTGCAAGATGTTTATTTTACAAATAAATATTTACTTGAAATGATAACAATTCGGATTTAGGCTTACCTTACTTAAGTGATCTGATCTTCCATGCATTTCAGTTTTGTGTTGTGAATTATTATCTGCAGTATGAAAGCCTTCTGAAGTGCAACTCTCAGGTGTTCTAGACATTTCTAATTTCTTCACATGCTGTGATGATGATGATGATGATGGTAATGTTGAAGCTTGATAGTGTGCTGGATTAACTTTACAGTCGTGTATTGTGTTGTGGTTGGTTGGTTCACCCAAGTTAAATTGTGTTGGACTTACAGGTGTAGAATATGGTGCATCCAAGTGTCTTTGAAGTTGATGTGTAATGTCTAGAAAATAATGAAAGGTGAATGTGTCTTTTGTATTCAATTTTAGCTAATCTATTAATCAACATTAAAAGAGCTAACAAACGTATTTATATAATCTATGAACAAACAGTTATCACTTATGCATTACTATTATTATTATTATTACCTTCAGTTTTTGTAATTATCTATTCTGATTCTTTGTTTGGCTGTGAAAAGAATGCCGAGAAAATAGATTTCATTGATCAAGGCACTCACTCTACTCGAAATCATGCAGCCAGCTAGGTGAGAGCCTACAAAGAGTTGTCATCCGAAGTAGTGACCGTCAGGGATTGCTTGCTTTACTTCGGCTATCTCCTACGGGAGGATGAGCCGGCTTCATGAACAAGAGTTCATGAAGTTTCATGGGAATTGGGTACGAGTGATGTCACCAGCATCGCTCGGCCTTTTGTTTGAGAGTGCAGCTCTAGCCTTTACACAGCCAAGTGTGACCTACAAGGCAGTAGGAGTGGAGTAAGGAGTCCACTATCCATTGGCAGCCGGTGACCGGAGTTCGGTTCATACGCCTTTTTGAATGAGGCCAGACATCCAGGACATCCAACAAGCCCTTCGTCCATACGTCTGCCGGTGAGCTCCGGTGAGCTTCATACGCCAGTCGTTGGAGGTTTGGAATCAGGGTTTAGCCATCTCCCCTAGACTGTCATCCAATGGGCAGTCAACCCGGTGGAGAGCGCCGGGCATCCGCTTTTGCCCTCTCACTTTAGTGAGAAACACCTCCGCCACGTGAAGGCAGTGAGTAGGACTTCCTCAGGAGAGGCTATGTAAGACGCACGGTCATATGGGAGCATTTCAAGAGGTGTGCGGAGGGGTGGCCAACCCGCAGCGCAAGACACCCACCCCCGACCATCCTGAGGCTTTGGAGGGATGCCCATCACTATCCGCATTTCTGCCTAATTTCATCATATATGTACTAATCGACTTAGTCCTGACTGGCTTCAGACACTCAGGAATTGACTAGTTAACATCAAGGAATAATCTTATTGATTTAGAATATGCAGACGATATAGTCCTATCTCCTAAGTAAAGACGCTGACTAAATAGAACAGAGTTTTCTGAACACCTTGAGAGAAGCAGCAGTCTTAGAATGTTTGGCATGCGATTCACCTGCTCCCGTCAAATGCAAGATGGTGCAATAGAACTAGACTGGAATACGCTGAATTACTCGTAGCTTGAAGAAGATAGGGAATGAAGTGATCAGTGGGTGGAGCGTGTTGACCACAGAAACACGAAAGATAAGCAGTCAAAACTGGTCACTGACTTAGTTTCAAAGAAAGCCTTATTCATGAATTTGGAAGTCAAAGGTGATCAAGCTTCAGATATGCTGGAAAACGTAATCTCTAAATCAATCAGTAAGATGTTCTTCGCTGCGAAATTACAAGTGATGTTCACCAGCTGCAAGTTGTTCTCCATCTCTGTTAAAGATAAGCTTCCCCGTCTGTCCACCTTCATGTGCATCTATACGTTCACTTGCTATTTGTGGAGCAAGGTGCATTGGCCGTAGCCCGAGAACGCCACTTTCCGCACGGATACGACAGCATATTCCAGCAACATAGTTTTACAAGGGAGAAATAAAGAGTGTGAGAAGCTCTATTCTAGAACACCTGATCAACTCCTGTCACTCTACCAACTCTGACCATGATTTTAAGGTCATCTACGGAATCCATGCAAACTCTCCGCGTTTTCTTTGTTATAGACTTCTAAAGACAGCAGGAGCCTTGGCCATTTATGAATTAAAGCCAGACCTTTGTATACAAAAGAAGTATATACAATCCCTACGTCTGCCTTGGTCGTAGAGGGATAGAAATTTATTTATTGAATTATTGTAACTACCTTTCGGTTATTACTACTATTAGTATTATTTTTTATTACTATTCTCACTCTGAATTGTTTCTGCTTGTCCCACTTGTCCTTCTAGATCCAAAGTGTTTTTCTTACAATATTGAATTCCATCTTATTAAATTTCACACCATGTTATTTAACATTCTATATTCGCCTATTAATCCCATAATTATCCACCCCTTTTCAACATCTATGCACCTTATGAATTCTTCTATATATGACACTAACTGTTTTGCTATTTGACACTTAACTATGATTATAATCACGATTATTTTAATTGCATATCCTACTATTATGCTCTCATGTATTCACACCTTTGATTCGATTCCCTCACTGGATTTAATTTCTTAAAAACAACCCATATATGTATAACAATGCGAATTATTAAATTATAGAAATGATAGAGAAGATTTGTAGCTCAGGTGGATGATTTTGATGTGGTGTTTTGTTCTCTGAGCTGGATGGTTAGTTTGCGAAGCTTTCATCACCTTACTGGGTGACATCTTCAGCGCATACTTCAATTCGTTGAAGTGAGCTTTTAGATTTCTCCACGAGTTTATTAATCATCTCTCCTGGTGACCTTGGACGTGATTGGTTGTTTGTGTGTGTTTTCACACCTTCTAGGTTACTTGTATTGGAACCGGTTGTTTCTTTGACTTGAACTTTGACCCTTTGTGTATGAAGTTTCTTTCTTATTGGTTGATAACTTTTGTCTATCTCGATGTGTCTATTGATTGATGATTCACTGGAATGCCAAGCTTCTAAAAATTGATGTCCGACTGGGACAACGTTCAAATATTAGACAAAGGAAATAACAAGAATGCTAGAGAATTTTTAGAAGCTTGGCATTCCAGTGAATCATCAGTCAATAGACACATCGAGATAGACAAAAGTTATCAACCAATAAGAAAGAAACTTCATACACAAAGGGTCAAAGTTCAAGTCAAAGAAACAACCGGTTCCAATACAAGTAACCTAGAAGGTGTGAAAACACACACAAACAACCAATCACGTCCAAGGTCACCAGGAGAGATGATTAATAAACTCGTGGAGAAATCTAAAAGCTCACTTCAACGAATTGAAGTATGCGCTGAAGATGTCACCCAGTAAGGTGATGAAAGCTTCGCAAACTAACCATCCAGCTCAGAGAACAAAACCACATCAAAATATAGAAATAATATATGTGCATAGCAAAAAAACATGTACATAGTAGGCAACTAACTTTTATTATTTCCTTTAAATAAATAACGTTCATCCACTGTACTGTAAGGTGATAGATGCATCTGATTCACTACACTGTGTACATTTGGATTTAATCTTATCGGTGATGAAGATAAAGATGAACTGTAGCCGAGTGAATGATGCGTAGGACATCTCATTGGTTGTGCAGTACACCAGCATGTATTATTCTGTGTAAACTGATTGGTTGATATTGGCGTTGAATCGAAACTCTCTCTAGTAATGTAGATATCATTTTCTCTTTCATATAAGTTTTCGTTTATTCCATAATCTGATTTATTTTGTGATGATATAACCAATGAATTATGTCCAGGTAGCTGATGCCATGTACGTGGTCTGTTTCTCGGTATACTCCCACTACTAGTGCTTGGGATATTACTGTTATTATTATTAGTAGTAGTAGTCGTTTTTCTGCATTCACCTTCACTACTACTCATAGCATCCGACCAAGTTGATTGTTCTGGTTTTTGATTCGGATGTAGACTTTCGCTTAATTTTGTATTGAAACTATGATTCTTTGAATCATTTGAAACTTCACGTCGTATTCTTTCAAGTCCCATAACCCTTGGTAGGGAACCATCTGATGAAGAACTCAGCGGACGACGTCTTGTATAAACTGGTCTTTAAATTTTACAAGGGGGAAAACAAGAATCGTTATAAGTTATAATTATTCAAAATAATTTCATAAATTTTTTTCAATGTAAACAATATTTGGTGCGTTTAATTCAGTCGGGACTTCCTCGTTGATTGATTGGACAGAAGAGCTTGGCCGCAGACTGACAGGTCGGCTCCTTATGTAGATGCTTTGGTGATGTCTGATCATTTAACTTGAAGTAAATTGGTGGATGCTGACTAGCAGTGGAATCCACGACAACGCGCATTTCGTCATATTTACGGGGATTCGTTAGTTGGATGTACCTACATTCTTCATTGAGCGATTGTGCTCCCATCGGGGCTCAAACGCAGTACTCATCGTTTCAAACACCGAAACGTTATTCACTAGACCACCTGGACCACGGGAAAGTCCATATTGAATTAAATGATTAATGATACCCGTAGTGTCGGTGGTGCAGCGATTAGGACGCTTACCGACCATGCACATGGTCCGGGGTTCGATCCCCCGCCAAACACTCACTCCTTTACATCTCCAAGGCAGAAATAAAGCTGGTAAGGAGGAAATGTCGGATATGAGGCTAGCAAACCCATCCTGTAAAAAATAAACACTGCTACAGAAACTTCAAGCCTCTAGCTTGAAGCCCTATGTTCCACTGAAGAATGTGAAGGAAAAATAAAAGATACCCGTTGCAGAAGAGGTGGATTTCGTGGCCCGAGTGGCTAAGTCGATAACGCCCTGACGTTTTGAAACTGTCGGCACTGGGTTTGAGCCTCAGTAGGAACGCCGTCACTCACTGAGGAAATCAGCTACATCCTACTGACGAATCCCCATAAATAGGACAAAAGGCTCGTTGTCGTGGATTCTACTGCTAGTAACCGTCCACTAATTTACTATTTGGTGTGGTTACCTGAAACATCCTAATAATTTTCAGAGTGTTATTTCGTGAGATTTGACTGGTTTTAGGTTTGATTACGGATTGATATCAGTTGGAGTAGCACTGAAAACCAGGGAGTATTAGATAGCTGTCGTCTCCTAGTTTGGCACTCTTCAGCATTAGGCACCCATGACCTCACCTACAGGGATTGAACCCAGAACCTTCAGATTACAAGACAAGCTCCTTGACTATTCAGCCACTTTGATGAAATAGTCAACGCAAGTGAAATTAGAATTCATTGGCCATAGGCTTCTGTCACCTTGGCTGAATAGAATAGTCAAATACTCGCTTCGTATCTTAGAAATGGCAAAGGATGGTAGTTTTACCAGAATGTTTTAAAAACGATTAGTTCCCTTTATGAATTTAGATACAGTGATAAGAAGACGTAATTTGTCCGAATCCTGTAATGTATTTGCGCAACACATTTCGAACAATCCGATCACACATTTACTTGTGAAGTCAATATATGTATGAAAAAGTTGAATTAAACAAAGTGACAAAAAAAGGATTGAAGAATGATTAACACAACGTTTGGTAATCTAATCAAATAAGGATTACCAAGGTAGGTGGGTTAAGAGTAATAATAAACTGTTTTTGAATACACAGGGCGGAGGGGTTTCAGTTTATGAATAGCCTTAGCCTCGGCGTATTTCAATAAGCGCCCTTGACCGTTTTCATAGATGACCTTAAAGGCTGAGTTAACGTCAATCTTATGGTTCATCTCGATTAGATGTTTAGCTATAGACAAAGTTGGTAGTCTGACAACTGCATCTATTGGTTTTTTTCACAATTCATTTATTCTTCTAACCAACCATTTTGGGATATGCTTTCCCACCCTCATATGCAAGCGCGATCACTCCTCCCTATGTATGTGTGACCACACGCACACACACACGAAAATTGGTAAATAGTGTGGGATGTGACATAATCACTTGTGCAGTTTTGAGGTTTGCAATGGAGCATATTTTTAGCTTTTTCGACAATTACAAGCTAGACTGCATATTAGGTTCTACGGATGATCGAATTCAACCTTTGTCTCAAGATCCTACTGTTTATTTCCCCGTTATATGGTAATTCGATGAAAGCATTTTTCTTAGGGGCGGTATGGAGTGTAGGTTTAGAGACTAATTGACTTTATTTCTTAGGGGAATTTTGTGAGCAGAATATAAAGCATGTCCTGGAACTAGAACTCAGTATCAGTAAGTAATTAAGAAAAGTGACCACTATTTTTAAGCTTTAAACTCATTTTTTTTCAGCATTAGATTCAGAGAATTTCTCATGTTAGCCTAAGGCACAGATAAATAACCCATCAGTAAGAGATTCAATCGGTAGACAGATATCTTCTGGAATTCTGGTTGCGGTTTGAATATCGTGAGGCCGTGAGGTTAGAATTTAGTTCCGATGTCGCTTATTTTAAGTAAATATCTTCAGTCCTGTACGTACTGATTGGAGCTGAGGGCTTCAAGTTTGAGCCTCGAAGTTTCATCAGCGTAGTGTTGATTTTACGAGGTGGATTGCTAGCCATACTCCTAACCTCTGCCTTTCCCTAGGCTTACTAATAGCTTAACAAGGCTAAGGAATTCGTCAGCTATGGATACAACCTGGTTCTCGGAAGTGGTTGGCGAAAATTCCACTAACGAAGTAAATAAGAGGGTTTTGTGATAACTTGTTTTTTCCAACAATCGTGTGTAATTGCTGACTAAAAGTGAAATGCTGCTAGTCTGTTTGAAACATTTGGCAGTGGAGAATCTTTAAATAAACACTATTATCAGTACGAACGTGTTTGTCCACAGAATTTGTCTTGTTTGGACTTGCCGTTCTCATTAAGAGATCCTCGAAATTGAGAGGGTATAAGTTCTCACTGAAGTGTAAAAGTTTATTCAACCTGATAATTAATAAAGGATGTGATTAGTTTTTAAAAACACCAAACCTCACTAGAATTATGTTAGATAACAAGTATCCCCTGAAATTCACCAAGCTTCACGGATCCAACCAGTTCCCAGAAAAGATGTTTATATATCCTTACTGTCCGAGGGTGATTAACATAGTTTGATCACTAACAAAAGACCTAAGGTGGCAAAGAACAGAACTAACTATGCAGCCAAACTTATTTTCACAGAGTAAACGAGATCTATGTTGCACCGTGAAGCCTCACAGTATTCGAGCGGTAGTGTGGTGAGAGCAGGCTGCTAGCCAAATTGGTAGACATTAATTTATGTCAATGTTTATGACGCAAATATTGGTCGTGAGAAAATATGAACAAGACTGATTCAACAACCAATCAGAGCAGACTTTGCGTAGGCAGATGCAGTTAACATGTAGATGATCTGACATTCAAGGGACAGTCACAAAGAGATGTGAGGTCAACTTTCTGTGAGAAACAACCGATCAGAAGTGTGTGTTTGTTTGCTTCAATAAGCTATAATAATGTACATGAAATATATATATAAATACGTGTTGATTTTCTTAATAAACGATCTGTTGTCTGGCCCTTGTCTTCTGTTGTTACAGTAGTGTCACGCCACAATGTTTTTTCAGTTTACATGTAGGTACGGCTACATGTACATAGGGAGGACCCATCGGTGTCTACAGATTAAGGCTACAGAATATATTCCAAAGTGGCCGCATCAACAAATAAAATCACTGGATACAACTGATCCCGGAAATATATGTCCAGCATCAATTATCGTCACATCATAGAGACGAGTTACAAAGTAGTCTAACAGCTTGACAGTTACAAGTCGTTAACTGTATTCTTTCATCGAAGTTATACATTAAATTGTTTATATGCTCGCTTTCTATGCGATGCTCTTCCTACCTGTTTGACTTCGAAAGTAAATTAACCGGAAAAATATCATATTTGAAATAATGTAGATTTGTAGTTCTGATGGATGTTTTGATGTAGCTGAGTTCTGTTTGAGTTGGATGATTTAACTACGAACTTCTCCTTATCTTTCTAGACAACATCTTCAGTTCAATGTGAAGTACTAGTTCAAGTCAGTCAAACAGTAAACTGAAAATTTATCAAGTTACTTAACACAGAGGGGTAAGTATTTACGATTATGTCTCTCATACGAACCTCAATCCTTCTCTCCAAAATAGCCTCCAGTAACTCCTATAAAATAATAGTCTTAAATTAATTACGGTTTCGTAATTAGTCGGTTCTTTTTGTCAATGTTGCACACATTTCTAAGAGTTCATTTAGAGGTTAGGCTTAAAATGAGGCTAATCACATTTTAACTTAAATCGTTTCTATTGCTTTACTTATAAATCTTACATAGAAAACCCCTTATAATATTTTTCCACAAACAAAAATGATTTCATTCACATATATAGAATTGTTATTGTTATTTCCTAAGGTTCGGAGTGGAACAGCACGGCTCATCTTCATCTTTTTCTCTTCAGCCTACTTTAGCTGGGTCCACGATTGTCCATAATCTCTCATCTTCTCCATGTGACCCTCGGACGTCCAACTCACCGTTTCCCATTGGAATTCCACTGGAAAGCCTGGCGTGCGATGCCGCTCAGCGATCTCCTCAGGGTAAGGCCGATCCACCTTCATTTCCTCTGATATATATTTTTCATGAGATAGGCTCTTTTTTGGTCTTTTCCAATAGTTGCTTATTGTTGATCCTTTCCGACTGGCCATCTCATCTTCATCATCGAGTGTAGACAACTGAAGCCAGAAAGGCTTTAAAATAATTTGAAATAATGCAAACAGGTAATTTCTTTAAGACTTTTACTTACTGTAAATCAGATGCTGGTGGAAAAAATACATAATCTGTATCAAGTTTCACTGCTCCAAACCCTTTAGTTCTAATCAATTCAAGCATTTGACGAACTGTTTGCTGCAGTGCTGTCAATACTTGTACACGAAAACCTGGTTGATTTCCAGCTTGTTCCCATGCATCCAGCTTAAAATGAGAAAAAGAAATGCATGGGAAAGATTAGTTTATTCGATAATTTGGTTAGAATAATTGAATAATGATCTTGTTATTAATTTTGATACATTCTGATCATTTTTTTCTTCATTCCTTCACGTTCTCAGTGGAACATAGGGCTTCAAGCTAGAGGCTTTAAGTCCCTGTGTAACAACAGAAGACAAGGGCTGGCAACAGATCGTTTTATTACGAAAATCAACACGTATTTATATATATTTTATGTGCATTAATAAGGCTTATGCAAGCAGAAAAAGGCAGTCTTCTGATTGGTTGTTTCTCGGATGTTAAGCAGACAAACACAGTCTTATGATTGGTTGTTTTCGATATTTCTCGGAAAGTAGAGCCATCTATCTGCGAATCATATTTGTCCACATTTAAGTTTGCTGTGATTGGTTGTTGAAACAGCCTTGTTCATATTTTCTCACGGCCCATATTAGTGACCTAGACATTAACGTAGATTAGTGTCAACCAATCGGCTAGCAGCCTGCTCTCACCACACCTGTAGCAGTGTTTACTTTTTACAGGATGGGTTTTGTTATGTACTCGTCGAGTAGTTAATAGTCTTGACGCGGAAAAAGGGAAATCAGAAGACCGCCTTGTTCACGATGATACTTGTATTTTCCAAACAAGGAAAATAAATGTCACACAAGTGTGTGAGTGAAATGATACGTAGCGTACGAAAAAGTGTGTGAACAAGAATGAATAAGTGTACAGTACAAAAGTATATATGAAAATGGCTAATACACATGAACCAATAAGATAACGTCTTACTATGATTGGTTGTAATTTCATGTGATAATAAGGTCAAACATTGCTTATTTAGTTAATGGACAGACAAAAGCATAATGACAGTTATAATGGAATATCCATCCATATACACATAGCAAAATATAACAGACTGTCAAAACCAAGACAGACATTATGTGGATACATATCAGGTTTGCCAGCCTCATGTCCGACATTTCCTCCTTACCAGCTTTATTTCTGCCTGTGCGAGGTAAAGGAGTGAGTGTTTGGCGGGGGATCGAACCCCGGACCATGTGCATGGTCGGCGAGCGTCCTAATCGCTGTGCCACTGACGCACTTCTGATCACTTTATTTGCTGCATTTTCTTATAGCTTAGTCATTTGTGATTTGGTTATCTAAAACTACACATATTGACGTACGTACGACAAGTAATCAGAGATGAATACAACTTAATTTAAAACAAATTACTCTAGTTTTTCTCTACTCTAATTCATTCATTGAAATATGCGATGTACCTTACAAACTAGATTATGTTCATATTTTAAATGCATACCAACCTATCAAAGTTTCATAAATCAGAAATGCTCTGTAGTATCAAAACCAAGAATCACCTGACAAGTGTTTCTTTTTAGTTTGGAAATATTCGGCAGCTCTGGTTACTATCCCTATCTGAGGATTGTCAGGTTTCACAGTGAGTGTATTATCACTCGTTAGCAATGAGCTGAAATTCAGTCGACCATGATTTAGCACTTGTTCCACTGTACAATTTATTGTTACAATCGCTCAATTCTGTCAATGATTATCCGTCCGAAATTCAACCTTCTTACCTGGCTCGAGCGAACTATCAACGACTTCATGTACTGATTTCAGATTTTAGTTTAACCACGTCTAACAGTTCTCTCCAACCCAACCCTGTGTCAGTTAACATGGCTCGTATAGGAAGTTGGTGGATCATCATGCACCACGTATATCCTAGCTTTTTCAGTTCAATATGTAGCTTCGTAACATCATCGATTAACTTGCCATCTTTACCTAACAATCTACTCCTAATCTCTATATTACTCATCTTAATATACCAACTAACACGGAAGATCGAAACCACACAAATATCTGTGGTCAAATACGGTAAGCCTTTTTACGTCTTTCACTTTCAATGTTAACGTTTCACAGTCATAAAGAAGGGAAGAGGAGACGTGCTGTGCAACACACACACACATGCTTTGATTGATATCCGGATATCATGTCTATGCCAGAGATGAGGTAAGTTGGCAAATGTTATATAAACAGTTTATATCCGTACTCAGATTTCATTAGTACTCAGTCCTTAGGGATGATGCAGTCCCCCCCCCTCAAATAAGTAAAGTGGTCAACACACTCCATCGCTTCACTCCCTACCTTTAAGCTAAGGGTCAGCTCAGACTAGTTCTTAGGCGTTATCTTACACCTGACAGCAGAAAATCACATGTTAAGCATTTGAAAATTTCTGCTCAAGGTTCTCAGAAGACTCTGCCTTTTGTCAGCATCTTCACCTAGGCGGACTATATCATCCACATACTCTCAGGCGGTAAGACTGTTCCCTATGAATAGGTCAGCCCTTAAGTCGATAAAGTCAATTAGGTTCAGTTACATTAGTGAATCTTTGACGAAATTATATAAAAATGGGAACAGTGGGCATCTCTGATGGACACCACTGGTTGTTATTACAACTATGTATATATAATTTCGAAATGATCTTTGAAATTAGGGGGGGGGGAATACATGAATAATCAAAGGCTACTAAATAAAAGTTTGTTAGCTTGAATCCTCTTGCTTCAACTTCAACCATATCACATAAACATTAGCCTGTCAAACATAATGTAGTTGTGAACCTGTCATTTGGAAGGTTCAAGTTCATTCCCTGGTCTAGAGGCTTTTAATGAGCTGCTAATTCAGTGGTAGAATGCTCTCCAGTCCCTATGGGGGTCCTCGTTCATCTATGACTCACTCCTAGGCCGTGTCTAGTTTACTGGGTGATAGTAAGCCCAGAGAAGTGGGAAGGTTGAGCGTGAGGCTAACAACCCGACATTCTGAAAATAAACCAGTTACTAAAAGTTCACAGATTGATGCTGCATATTCTACTCAAAACTAAATGAGTAAAAATATTGTTTAAGGGAAATTCCGTCAGCAATTTGTTTAATACAATCAACTCTCTATTCCGCGGTTTTATAAATTTTCTCTTACGCTATCGAAACTGTATGTATTACAAGATCAGCACACAGATAATTGGTTATTCAATTAACAAACAAGATAAATGAATCGACCTACTTTTTGATAACTGTTTTTAATGTGCATCAGCTGTCCAGTCGTAGGGTTTTCACCAGCTGTGCATGTCGTCCGAGTTTAATTCCTAGCCGACAAATTCCTAAACCTCCCATAGCCTGCAGTGGGCCCGATAAAGAGGAAAGGTTAGGCGTAGAGATAGAGAGACACTGGGCTATATAAAAAACATCACCAACACAAACAATGTGACTTCAAATTTCACGCTTGAAGCCCTTGGGTTTCATTCATCGTATAGTTCTGTTCAGATAATAATTTGTTTCTCGTAAGCACTAACTTCAAACACAAGGACAGACACTGTTTGACCTGGCGACCCCCATCATCAAACCAACGCTGGACACAAATAGACCACATAGCAATAAGCTATCGTTGGCGTGGGTCGGTAGGAGATTGTCGCTCTTTCTGAAACACGTGTGTAGATACCGATCACGCACTTGTCCGGGCTCGGGTGTGCTTACGACTGAACGGACGTAGGAAACAGCTGGCGGTAAACCCATCACGTCCCCAGCTCGATCAGGAAACTAAATCCGTATTTGAGGAAGAACTAGCTAAACACATATCTGAGTTCGACAGCTGTGCTCACCCTGAAGAAGCCTTGAAGAATATTCAGGCAGCCATAGATACAGCTGTAAAAGCTGTGAATAAGTTAAACCCAGAGGTGGGTAAAAACCACTGGATCTCCACCGCGTCATCCGAACTGATAGATGCTAGAAGACTTGTTCCGGCGAGCTCCGAATTCAATGAGGAGCTAAAGCTGCACAAAAGGAAACTTACTAAAAGTCTCCACAAGGACTGTGAACAGTGGTGGGTGACAAAGGCAAAAGAGATGGAAAAAGCATCGGCGATAGGCAACACTAGGCAACTCTTTAGACTCATCAGGGAAACGGGTGGGAGAAGGCAAATCATAAGTGAGACTATTTCTGAGAAAAATGGCTCCTTAATTAGCTCTCAGGATAGACGCCTTGAACGATGGAAAGAACAATTTGAGGGACAATTTAACTTGCCTACAACCACACTGAACCTCCCCGACATCCAGCACACACCCGAATGGGATATAGACACCGGTCCGCCGTCTGTAAATGAGGTCACAAAAGCTATCAGTAATTTGAAACGAGGCAAAGCGGCAGGATCCGACGGAATTATTCCGGAGGTGTTTAAACATGGGGGTGACATACTAGTTTGTAGATTAACTGAGGTACTAGGCAAGGTCTGGGAATCAGAGACGGTTCCATCAGACTGGGGTAAATCACTTATTATACCGATATTCAAGAAGGGAAACAAGTCCTCGTGTGATAATCATAGGGGGATCAGCCTAACGAACATAGTCTCTAAAATCCTAGGCCCAGTAATCATGCACAGACTAAGCAGAACTCGGGAGGAACAGATGAGGGAAAATCAAGCAGGCTTTAGACCAGGTAGAGGGTCCATAGATCATATCTTCACTCTCCGACAGATTCTAGAACATAGACACACTTTTCGGCGTCCAACAATTGCCATATTTCTTGACTTGAAGGTGGCCTTCGACTCCTTGGATCGAAAGGTACTATGGCAATGTCTGACTGTGAAGGGAGTGCCAAGAAAGTACATTGCACTAATCAAGGGACTCTATTCAAATTCATGTAGCCGTGTAAGGGCTTATGGAGAATTGTCATCTGAATTGATAACAACCAGTGGTGTCCGACAGGGATGTCCACTTTCCCCATTTCTGTTTAACTTCATCATAGATATGCTGATGGAAGTATCCTTAACTGAACGTAACGACTTAGGAATCGACTTGTTACCAGGGAATAGTCTTATGGACTTAGAATATGCAGATGACATAGTCCTGTTAGGGGAGGATGGTGACAAAATGCAGAGTCTTCTGAACACCTTGAGCAGCAATCTTCGTATGTTTGGCATGCGATTCGCCTCTGTAAAATGTAAGATGCTGCTACAGGACTGGACCACGTCAACTCCTGCCTAGCTTAGTGATAGGGAGTGTAAGTGATAGAACATGTTGACCACTTCACCTATTTGGGAAGTTGTATTAGCACCAACGGACTGATTGGCGACGAAATCTCAACACGGATCCAAAAAGCTCGAGCTGCTTTCGCTGACTTACACCATCTCTGGCGTAGGCGTGACATCCGGCTGGCTATCAACCAAGGGACGTGTGTACTGCTCATCAGTTCGCCCCGTCCTTCTCTAGGGCTCTGAAACATGGACAATACGAGTTGAAGACATGAAAAGGTTGACTGCTTTCGATCATAGATGTCTGAGGTCCCTGTCTCACGTTAGGTGGTTTAATAAGGTAAGTAATGTTGACGTTAAGCGTAGAGTGTTGGGCAAACAGGGAAAATCAATCGACGAGGCTATAAAGTTACATAAATTGGGATGGCTAGGTCAGGCGCTGCGCATGCCTAACCATTGTCTCCCCCGACGGGCATTACTAGCTGATATAGGTGCAGGTTGTAAAAGAGCCAGTGGTGGCCAAACAAAAACATGGCCTCATCAATCCATGAAATCCTTGACAGTTAAACTGAGTCAGGTAGGGAGATGCAGACTACCGGGTTGGGGCCCTCGGGACTCAAGGAATCAATGGCTGGAGACAATAGGTGACATGGCTCAAAATCGTTGTCAATGGCCAGCGCAGATGTATTCAGTCTCTGTAATCTTTCATATTCCTTTCTACCATTACCCATTCTGTTTCACTGTAATACTTGTCAGACTGTATTGATTCTCTTCACTCATCTTCTTGTCTACCTCTGTGTGCTATTTGGAACGTGGTAACTCTAACTGCTGTACTTCGGTGCCAAGTTCTATGCTGAATCCAGACAGACGTTCAAAACACAAAGGAGTGGAAAAATTGCTCCTAGCAATTGATGTGGGACTCGATTTCAAATGAAAACGTAAAATTGGAAAAAATATCTCAAATTTTTTAAAATACGCATTTCGAAGTTAAATTCCACGACATTTTCCTTTGGGAACTGAAATGATTCAGATCACAATATGTGGCCAGTACTGCTTGCAAGCCAGTCAGATCGAAGTGACATTAAACATCGCACGATGGTTTAGCTCATTTTGGGTTGAACTCATCAACGGTGTATCTATTTTGATTCAGATCCGCTCATGAATTGATATGAATGGTATGCAACTACTCATGCCGTGAAGTCAGTAGAATATAGTGATGTTTAAAAAAATACTTGCATGAAAACTAACTTACTCTTTCTGCTACTTTCGGTGTGTTGAAATCGCTCATAGGTGGTCCTTGGCTTGTCAATGGACAAGTAAATCCCAATCGAAGTCCAGTTAACGGAGTGTGATATAAATGTCTTGCAGTTCTTCTAGCATTATCAGGTAAAAGTAAACTAGGCAACTGAGATTGGAAAGTGACATAGGTACGTTGATCATTTCGTTTGCATTCTTTACCTTGACAATAATCTCGTTTAATGTCAGCAGTACGATGACGATTTTGTGGTGTATTCGTTCGACATGAACAACGATATGTTACTGATGTGATGCGTACAACAAATCTATCTCTATGATAGTTTCTCATCCAAAGACGTTCTTGCTGTTGATAGAAAATAATAATGAGAAAGTGTTAGAGATGCATAAAATAAAATTCAGTGACTTTGTTCTCATTCGAAATTTATCTATTATAGATAACTACAAGGAAGGAAACATTTCTGAGCGTTTTGAAGCATAGTTTGTGAATAATTAATTCTTAATTTGGAACATTTTAGAAGCAATCCCTAGTTTCTCCTCATTTAATATAATAGTTTACATCAATCGTTTCAGGATAGAAGTTTCGCTAACCGTGTATTTGATTCAGGTTTGATTCCAAGTCGATCCACTCCTAAACCTCGCTCAGCAAGTAGCAAGTCGGTAAAGAAGTAAGTTTGGGTGTGAGCACAGCAGCTTCACCTCGTATTGTATCAATCATATCTTCACCCTTCGACAGATTTTGGAACATTGGCATACGTACTGGCGTCCATTAATCGTCATATTTCTTGATCTAAAGGTGGCATTTGATTCTATCGACTGAGAGGTACTATGACAATGCTTGGTTGTGAAGGGAATGCCGAAGAAACACATTGCACTGATGAAGGCAGTCTACTAGAACTCATGGAGCCAGCCAAGTAAGAGCTTATGGCGAGTTGTCATCATCAGGAATGTCCACTATCCCCATTTCTATTCAATTTCATCATTGATATATTAATGGACTTAACTCTAACTCACTTCAGAGACGCAGGCATTGACTTGTTACCAGGGAATAATCTCGCTGATTTAGAATAGGCAGAGGATATAGTCCTGCTTCCTAGGTGAAGACGCTGACAAAGTAGATCAGAATCTTCTGAACACCTTGAGTTGCAATCTGCATATGTTTGGGATGCTATTAGCTCCCACAAAATGTAAGATGATGCTACAGGACTGGACTACATTGACTCCTAGCTTAGAAATAGGGAGTGAAGTGGTAGAGTACGTTGACCACGTCACTTACTTAGGAAGTTGCATCATCCTCAACAGGTTGGTCGCTGACAAAATCTCAGTACGGATACAGAAGGCTCGTTTGACAGATGCCTTCCAACTTACGCCATCTCTGGCTGAGTAGATGTGATATTTGGCTGAATGTCAACCAAAGGGCGTGTGTACTACTCAGCAGTTCGATCCGTCCTCCTTTATGGCTGTGATACATGGCTATTGAGAGTGGAAGACATGGATAGGTGGGCTAGCTGTCTTCGATCATAGGTGTTTGGGTTATATCTCCAAAGTTGAGTGGTATAATAGGTTGAGGTTAGGGTTCGGTCGATTGCTGGATAAGAAGGGGAAATCAATCGACGACGCTGTGAATTTGCATCAATTGAGATTGCTAGGACATGTGTTACGCATGCCTAGTCATCGCCTTCCTCGATAGGCAGTGTCAGCTGACATAGATTCCGGTTGGAAAAGAGCCACTCCTGGTAAACCAAAATATGGCTTCACCATTCTGTGAAATCCACAACAATTAGTCCCGACCGAAAGCTGCTACCTTGACGTGGTGGTCGGGCTTGAACACCGCAATGACCTAATCAAGCTATACTGGCTGAGACTTATGTCTCTTGAGGTTCTACCATGCCAGGCAGGTTGTTTGGATAGCGGTTAAACAAAAAGCAGCTACCCAATCCAACATCATGATAAATACAAAATTACAAAATTTCATGCCGGATCGGCCGTGGCCCGGATTAACAACGACCGCGCTTCCTGCTGCCGTGTCACAGGGCGGGAGTGATAAATCTGCTACTGAGACACACAAAACAAAAAGAACAAACAAAAGCAGGCCGCGTGTGACCGGCCTCAAGCAGTTGTCCCCTGGGCTCTGCGGTCACGCAACCAACTTCCACGGTGTGGGCAGCCGGGAAGTAACAATCGCCCTCACAATCCGAAATGCACACGAAACCTCTCTATTACTCACTCATCTTTGTCTTCATCTTCATCTCTATCATCTTGCCTTCCTTCCACTGATGCAACTCCTCGACTTGATAGCTCTCCACTTCCTCTCCACTCTGCGTCCACTAAAAACGATGGAAGCCAAAAAACCACCACCGACAGCCTCTTAAAGCCGCGCCACCAATTTCATATAGGAGCTCTTAATGTTAGGACACTTTGCCAAATAGGACAACAAGCATCACTAGCCAAGACCCTGGCATCACGAGCCATTGATGTATGTTGTGTTTCAGAAACACGCATACAAGACCCAAGTGTGGTTATTCACCTAACCCCACCTGGCCAACAGGTTGAATCTGCAAAATTCACCTTGAGGGTGTCAGGAGATGCCACAGCTAGTTCACGAGGATTAGCTGGCGTAGGGATAGCTTTGAGTACTAGGGCAGAAAAGACATTGCTTGACTGGATCCCGGTAGATAGCCGAATGTGTGCTGTCCGCCTGAACGGATCAGTAAGAAGGAGGAAGGACTGCACTACTCGCCGATGCCTTTTCGTAATCTCCGCCTACGCCCCCACTGACTGCAGTTCAGATGAAACGAAGGATGAGTTCTACCAAAAGCTGTCTAGTTTGGTGAGAAAGGCTAAACGCTCAGACATAGTCGTTCTAGCTGGTGACTTTAACGCTCAAGTAGGGAAATTGTGTCAATCTGAGAAGGATGTCGGTGGCACCTATGGAGTTCCGTGCCAGCGAACCGACAACGGTGACCGTCTCCTACAGTTCTGCTCTGATAATCATTTGTTTCTTGTAAGCACTAACTTCAAACACAAGGAGAGACACTGTTTGACTTGGAGACCCCCTTCATCAAACCAACGCTGGACACAAATAGACCACATAGCAATAAGCTATCGTTGGCGTGGGTCGGTAGGAGATTGTCGCTCCTTCTGGAACACGTGCGTAGATACCGACCATGCACTGGTCCGCGCTCGTGTGTGCTTACGACTGAACGGACGTAGGAAACAGCTGGCGGTAAAACCATCACGTCCCCAGCTCGATCAGGAAACTAAATCCGTATTTGAGGAAGAACTAGCTAAACACATATCTGTGTTCGACAGCTGTGCTCACCCTGAAGAAGCTTGGAAAAATATCCAGGCAGCCATAGATACAGCTGTAAAAGCTGTGAATAAGGTAAACCCAAAGGTGAGTAAAAACCACTGGATCTCCACCGCCTCATCCGAACTGATAGATGCTAGAAGACTTATTCCGGCGAGCTCCGAATTCAATGAGGAGCGAAAGCTGCACAAGAGGAAACTTACGAAAAGTCTCCGCAAGGACCGTGAACAGTGGTGGGCGACAAAAGCCAAAGAGATGGAGAAAGCTTCGAGGATAGGCAACACCAGGCAACTCTTTGGACTCATCAGGGAAACGGGTGGGAGAAGACAAATCATTAGTGAGACAATCTCGGAAAAAAATGGCACTATAATTAGCTCACAGGATAGACGACTGGATCGTTGGAAAGAGCATTATGAGGAGCAGTTTAATTTGCCCACAGCCACGCTCAACCTTCCGAGCATCCAACACCTCCCTGAATGGGATATAGATACAGGTCCTCCGTCACTAACTGAGGTTACTAAAGCTGTCACCAATCTGAAACTAGGCAAAGCAGCGGGACCTGATGGAATGACTCCAGAGGTATTTAAGTACGGTGGAGACAGCTTACTGTCCGGATTAACTGAGGTACTAGGCAGCGTTTGGGAATCAGAAGAAGTCCCATCGGGTTGGTGTAAGTCACTGATTATCCCCATATACAAGAAGGGAGACAAGTCTTCCTGTGATAATCACAGAGGGATTAGCTTGACTAATATAGTATCTAAAGTCTTAGGCTCAATAATCATGCGTAGACTGAGTGGTGCTCGGGAAGCACAAACACGAGAGAGCCAGGCAGGCTTTAGACCAGGAAGAGGGTGTATTGATCATATCTTCACCCTCCGACAGATTCTAGAACATAGGCATTCCTACCGGCGTCCAACAGTCATTATATTTCTTGACCTAAAGGCAGCATTCGACTCTGTCGATCGGGAAGTTCTCTGGAGATGCTTGGCTGTCAAGGGAATTCCGAGAAAATATATTGCACTGATTAAGGCACTCTATTCGTACTCATACAGCCAGGTGAGGGCTTACGGCGAGCTGTCATCTGAACTGGTGACGACCAGTGGTGTCCGTCAAGGATGCCCATTATCTCCTTTTCTATTCAACTTCATCATAGATGTGTTAATGGACTTAACCCTAGGTGACTTCAGCGATTCAGGGATTGACTTGCTACCTGGGAATAATCTCGTTGACTTGGAATATGCAGACGATATAGTCCTTCTAGGCGAAGACGCTGACGAAATGCAGAGTCTTCTAAACACCTTGAACAGCAATCTACGAATGTTTGGCATGCGATTCGCTCCCGCCAAATGCAAGATGATGTTACAGGACTGGACTACGCTGGCTCCTAGTTTAGAAATAGGAAGTGAAGTGGTAGAGCACGTTGACCGCTTCACTTATTTGGGAAGTACCATCAGCCCCAACGGGCTGATCTCTGACGAAATCTCAGCACGAATACAAGGGGCTCGTTTCGCATTTGTTAGTTTACGCCGACTCTGGCGTAGACGAGATGTTCGACTATCGACCAAAGGGCGGGTGTACTGCTCATCAGTCCGCTCCGTCCTCCTTTATGGTTGTGAGACCTGGCCACTCAGAGTGGAAGACATGAAAAGACTAGCTGTCTTTGATCATAGGTGCCTGCGTTCTATATCCCGTGTAAAGTGGCATAATAAGGTGAGCAACATGGAGGTTAGGCGTAGAGTCCTAGGTAAACAGGGGAAATCAATCGACGAAGTCGTGAAGCTACATCGACTGAGATGGTTAGGACATGTGTTACGTATGCCAAGCCATCGCCTCCCTCGACGAGCAATGTTAGCGGATATAGGGTCAGGCTGGAAAAAAGCTAGCGGCGGTCAAACAAAAACTTGGCATCAGTCAATGAAATCCACAACAGTTGGTCTTAGCCACGTAGGAAGGTGTAGACTTCCAGGCTGGGGTCCTCGGGACGGCAAAAATCTATGGTTGGAAACAATTGGTGACATGGCTCAAAATCGTTCTCA